AGGCGCAATCAGACCTTGTTGGACATGGTTTGTTGCATGATGATTCGATTCACTCTTGCCCTAACCGTAAAAGCGATATCTTTAGGCCCCTCAGTGATTTGGTGTTGACTTATAGTGTTGGGCCCAACCATGACTCAGTTGATGTGTTCAATTTGAAGTCTTATGTGGTCATCACAAATCAGAAATCGTGAAACAATATTTTAGACAATGAGATTGATTTAAGTCCATATCTCATGTCTGTACGATATCTAGTAAAACGGAGGAATATTGGATCACTTATCTTAGGGTCAATGTCTGGTCAATTCGGAGTTCGACAGTTGTTTTGGAAGCACTCTTTGCTGTCTAATTTAGAAGTTATATTGGTAATTGCAGTTATAGACTTATCCAAGTGGGAGACTGTTGGATTAGGTGTCTAAGTCAATAGCTGAATTAGTATATACTTGAATTATTAGCAAAGTCATTTTGGGTTGCCCTCAAACCTAGTAATTGAATATGATGACTTTTACACACACACACACACACACAGAGAGAGAAAGATAGAGATAGAGATAGAGAGAGAGAGAGAGAATGATTTATTAATTTATTATATGATTAATAAATAGCAATAAATAAATTTATTAATATGTTATAAAAATAATATATTAATTAGAAATAATATTATTTAATTAATAATTAATCAGAAATTAATTGGATTAATTAATAGTACAAGGGTCTAATTGTAATTGTTGAATAGTTGAACACGAGGTTCCAAAACCTTCCTCCTATGGAGGTGGACGGTTTCTTGCAGGATAATCTAGAGTTTCTAGAATATCCCTTATAGATAATTATAGATAATTAGGGAGTAGATAATTATCTAATTTGATATATTAATATAATCAAATTGGGGTTATCTAGGGTTTCCTAATCTAACTATAAATGGACCCTAAAGGATCCATTTTTTCGGCTATTCCTTATTACCAAGGCATATCCGAAATTCCTTCTCCCCTCTCCTCTCTCTTTAAGCCTCCTTGTTGCTAGGGTTGGGTGTGAACCATCAAAGGCAAGAGATTTCTAGTGCTAGCTTCCAAGAGTTTTCAAGAAAGATTATTTGATTGTTTACTACAACAATCAAGATGTATGTTTTCTTCTGTGAATTTCGAAATTACCTAGGGTTATAGGGTTCTTGTTGTTCAATAGAATGTTACTTCAATAGCGTTATGACTAGATCTAATAGGTTGCATGTACCCTTAAGTGTATAAGGATTTATCCGCGTTATTGCATATAAAACCCATCACTAATAGTACAAGTTGTAATGTACAGTGTACAAGCATGTTAAAGCCTAAAGTACAATTTTAATCTATCAACTTTGTATAATACGTCACTTTCAACCATTATATTCAACTTTGTAAAATATTACTTTCACCCATTTCGTTTTTTTTAACTTTAGAGCTTATTCTGTAGTATATATATAAATAAAATTTTTCCTCATCTACTTTGTAAAATTCATTTTTCACTCCTCTTTTTTAAAATGTTACTTTGACTATCTCAGCAGAGAAAATCATTGTACTTAATACTATAATTGTTAATGCACAATGTATAAGTATGTCAATGTGTAATGTGTAACTTTAATTTCGTAACTTTATATAATCCGTTACTTGCAACCCTTAATGCATAAAGTGCAACTTTAATCGCTCAACCTCATATAATCCGTCACTTGCAACCTCTGTATTTTGTAAAGTGATATTTTTTTATCCCTTTAATTTTAAAATATCACATTCACCTCTTCCACCTTAAACTTTGTAAAATATCACTCTTATCCCTTTATTTTTCACTCCTAATACACAATAAAAACACGTAAAAAACGTTGAAAAGCACGGGTTCAATTACTAGTTTTTAGCTATAAACAAAACTGTGTTTATGGTGTTAAAAATGTGTATGTTTAAACTAGGGGTGTGCGCGGTGCGGTTTGGTGCGGTTTAGAGCCAAAACCGCAAACCGCAAACTGCACCGCACATGCGGTTTGAGTTATTTAGAAACCGCAAACCGCACCGCGAACGTTCAAAACCGCATTGTGCGGTGCGGTTTGGTGCGGACGGTTTATGCGGTTTACATACGGTTTTGCGGTTTGAGTAATTATTTACATTAAGTTTGACAATACTATCATTGTCGTCACTAACGGCTCACTAAGTGGTCATTAAGAAATTTGGTGGTCATAGAATTGTGGTCATTAACTATTTATGAATATACATAAGTTAAGAAAACATAGTGTATAAAATAATGGTCACTGAATGTTAGTTGAAAATGAATTTGAGACAAAAAATATGGTCACTCCATTAAATTTTGCATTAAATTTTGGATTAATTAATATTACATTTCAAAAACTTAAGATAATGTCACTAAATTAGGACCTGTCAAATTATTTTTGAATATATATATATATATATATATATATATATATATATATATATATATATTTATATATATATATATATATATATATATATATAATTATTAATTGATTTTATCAATGCGGTGCGGTTTAAACCGCAATTTTGTAATCGTAAACCGCAAACCGCACCGCGAGTGTTTTAAACCGCGTTATGCGGTGCGGTTTGGTGCGGTGCAGGCGGTTTATACGGTTTGTGGAGTAACCTTAACCAACATATATAGACGCAAAAAATGAAACTACAAACTTCTGATGTGAAATAAGTGTTTGAAATATGTGTCTAGAGTATCATAACGATCACGCTTTAAGTTCAATTTCTATGTCATAAAAAGTACATTTGAAATATGTTTTCTAAATAAAAACAGAAATGTCAAAATTTGAAACATTTTATGTCCTAGGGATAATAACTTAAAAGGGTAACTTATTTCTTGATTTGTACAAATTTAGTCACTGAGTTTTTCTTTTTGTTCATATTTTCCCATTGAACTTTTTGAACCGTTTAAAAAATACCCTTATGACCTGCTATAGGAGGTATAGCCGGTTTCCGGCATATCTGACAACTCCGGAGATGCTCCGTTCATCTTCTCCGGCGAAATATTATTTTTCCGGCTACAAGTGAAAACTCATTTTCTCCCTTTAAGTCATTCTTCATCTGCATCTTTTTTTGTAAGTTATTTCTTCAAATATCATTTTGAATTAGATAAACACAAAAACCCCAAATCAGATGAACACAAGAACCCCATATTAGTTGTTTCTTCAAACTCAAGAACACTAGGTCAGATGAACACACACACGATCTTCAACACAAACATAAAACCATACTTATTGTTCTGTGTGTGTTTTCCAGAAACACAAAGACCAAAAATCGAACTCAGAACAACCTTAAGTCGAGTTGAGGTTTTCAAACCCAGAAATCGATTTCCAAGAACAAAGAAGAAATCGATTTGGTGTGTTTTGAGTTCCTTGAAGATGAACACACTCAAATCGAGCTTGAAGGTATGACGATTTCTTAAACACACTCAAACCCAGAAATCGATTTTCAAGATATGTGCTCAAAACCCGTCATGAAAACCCTCGAGTTCGTGTTTAAACAGATCGAAGGTATGTGTATGTGTGTTCATCGTGTGTATGTGTATTCATTTTCATCTATGTTAGAATTTAAAAACTACTAAATCGATTTCCACATTTGAAAGTGAACTCGAAATCTAGGGTTTCAGGTGGGTTTTTTTTTAAAAAAAAAAATCGATTTCTGAAAAAATAACTTACCTGAAGGGCTGAGTTTGTGAGCATAATCTGGAAAGAATTCGACTTTCAGGTGGGTTCTTCATATATAAACTCGAAATCTAGGCTTTTTCTGGTGAGTTTGTTCATGATGTTCTTCAAATCTTTGTCTGGTTCATTAAGGTTTGTTCATCGTGTTCTTGAGGGCTTCTTCAGATTCAAGTTTGTGTGTGTGTGTTAGATCAGAAATTGCAACCCCTGTTTTCAGAAATTAAAAATCATTACATTGATTTTGTGTTTTGCTAGATCTGTCATGGATGGACTTGTTTTACAAATCTATATATGTATTAGATAAACACAAATCCAGAATTTCATGTGTGTGATTTCAGGAAAAAAAATGGGTTTTTACTTGTCGCCGAAAAAATAATGTTTCGTCGGAGAAGATGAACAGTGCATCGCCGGAGTTGTCAAAGACGCCGGAAACCGGCTATACCTCTGATAGTAGGTCATAAGGATGCTTTTTGAACAGTTCAACAAGTTCAATGGAAAAATATGGACAAAAAAAAACTCAATGACTAAATTTGTACAAATTCAAAAATAAATTACCCTTTTAAGTCATTATCCCTATGTCCTATTATAAGAATCCATCCTCTCCGACATGATTTCCGTTAGTTCAAATTAGACTATTCCAAAGTTACCGGTCATTTTGATAAATATAAGGGAAAAATGAATCTAAACTCAATTAATATATATATATATATATATATATATATATATATATTATTTTTATTAATCTTCCTATTTAGGAGATCAAAATAATTATAACAAAAATTATAATTAGTACAGATAATTAATTAGTTTCATATGTCATATTATACGAATAGAAAATACGAAAATAAATTTGAACAAAACTTAGAAGCATATTTAACTTTTCCATTTAATATCATGCGTTCATTTACGTGAATATTTCCACATTGTAATCATCAACAGTTATACTATATTAATAAAAGTTGAATCTTAAACTTTTTAGAAAGAAAAATAATTTATTTTGTGAGGAAGGTACAAGTAGGAATGGCGAATGATAGGAAGTTTGTAAGGTACAAGTAGGGAATGCACGTCACATTGAAATCCTCCTACCTTTTGTCATCAAGAGAAAGCCAGTTGGAAATCCAATACTTTCTCTCTCTAAAACTACCTTTCTCTCTCTACACCCACCAGGATTATAATCAAAAACCAGAATCAATCCAATTTTGCTTTCACGAAACCCTCTCCCATTTCCAAAAATTCCCTTCAATGACTACTCTCCACCAATACCATTAGTTTTTATTTCCTCTAACTCACATCGCCGGCAACCATGTCCTCAGGCTTCCCCGGCGGTCATCCAGACTACTTCAACATCAACATCGGCACCAACAACGTCAGTGGGAGATCCATGTCTATGATGAATATGGCCAACAACCCACAAGGCTCTTACCGGTCACCACTTGCCGGAATTCTTGCTGACCCATCTTCTCAGATCGGACTCAGGCGACCTGAGTTGATGGGGAAAAGATCTCTGGCTGAATTCCAACACCATCACCAACTCCAGCAGCAAGCTGCGTTTTTCTTAAGAAACGTGAAACAACGGCCTTATAATCAGCATGCTTCTCCTGTATCTCCGCTTTCTCTAGTGGATTTTCCGAATTTGCCGGAAGTTTCTTCGGTTTCTAATATGTCTTCATCGTCGTTGTCGTCTGTTCCTCGCTATGGCGTTCCAGTTATGCAACAAGTTCATCCGGCGAGTGTGCAAAGTTTTAATCTTGGTAATGGAAACTTTAACGGCGTAATGGGTAATTACCAACATAACAATCGTGGCAATTTTCCGCGAGTTTCTTTACCTAATTTAGCGGCGAAACAATTGGCGGCCAGTCAAGAAACGGAGGGGAAGATGATGAAACGTCTGCAAGAGCTAGAGAAACAGCTTTTATTGGACGATGAAGACGGAGAAAACGATGTCTCCGGCGTTACTAACAGCGAGTGGTCGGAAACGATTCACAACATACTCGGTTCCTCCCCGGTGGTGAAAGCGGAGAACACTGTTTCTCCTTCTCCGACGTCGTCGTCTTCTTCGTCCTGTGCATCTTCCTCCGCGTCTCCAGCGACCCCAATTTGCCCAAAGCAGTTGCTATCCGACACCGCAGTTGCAATTGCCGACGGGAAAAACGACTCAGCGATGGAAATCCTCACGCGCCTCAACCAGGTTTCAAACGCGCTTGGCACCCCCGAGCAGCGATTGAGTTTCTACATTGCGTCCGCACTCCGATCGCGGCTAAGCGGGAACCCGACGACGGCGTCGGAGTTGTATGGAAAAGATCACATCGTGTCAACCCAACTGCTCTATGACAAATCCCCATGTTTCAAGCTTGCTCTCATGGCAGCGAACGACGCCATTCTCGAACTGGGGCAGGCCGAGAACAGCATACATATGGTAGATTTCGATATAGGTCAGGGCGTTCAGTACGTGTACTTACTTCACGAGATTGCGGCGGCGCGTAAGGTTGATAAAGAGACAAACATTTCATTAAAGCTTACAGCTTTCACAGACTTTGGTAATAGGGGTTCTGATAGATTGAAACTCGTGGGTGATGGTCTGAGTTCCCTTTCTAACAAACTGGGTGTCCCCTTTTCTTTCAATATTTCAACTTTGAAATTATCCGATCTCAATGCGTCTGCCTTAATGGTGGAACCCAGAGAAGTTCTGGTTGTGAATTTCGCTTTCAAGTTGTACAAATTGCCAGACGAGAGCGTAACCACGGAGAATCTGAGAGACGAGGTGCTGCGGCGCGTGAAAGGGTTGTCACCGGCGTTGGTGACGGTGGTGGAGCAGGATTTGAACGCCAACACAGCGTCGTTTGAGACGCGCGTGAGCCAGTCGTGTGGGTATTATGGGGCGTTGTTGGAGTCGCTGGACGCGACGATTGGGAGGGATAACTCGGAGCGAGTGAAAATCGAGGAGGGACTGAGTCGGAAAATGATGAACTCGGTTGCGTGTGAGGGGAAAGACAGGGTTGAAAGATGTGAGGTGTTTGGGAAATGGCGGGCCCGAATGAGCATGGCTGGGTTCGAGCCAAAGGCGATGAGTCAACTCAGGGCTGAAACATTAGTTACGAAGGTGAACTCGGGCACACGTGGTCATCCGGGCTTCACGGTGAAGGAGGAGGGCGGCGGGATTAATTTTGGGTGGATGGGCCGGAGTCTCACCGTCGCATCGGCGTGGCATTAGCATAATTGTAATATCCGATTTAAAATTTTAAACTATAAATATGGAAAATATGATTTAGTGTGACTTGTACCATCAAAATTTCAGCTAATTTTTAATTTTCAATCTATCGTATCAATTATAATGTCTTTTATTTATGATTCGCAAAACCATAGTATTTCTTTGTGTTTTGTGATTTGACGTTTTAATGATAGCGTTCATACTTGTGATCTTTTAAGATTTATTTTACTTGAGAGTTGAGATTACAACGTTTCCTTTTATTAAACAAAAGCCTGAAACTATACAAAAATATTATTTCGCAATCGATTGAGATACATCATACCGATCTTACGATAAACACATAAAAACATCGAATCAAATGACCCCTCACCGACGACCCCTTCCTTTATTCAATTGTGTGTGTTTATACACGTTATACCGGCTTAGACGGATATTAAGTACAGTAGGGTGACGTGAGCTTTAAGGGCCAAGTTCAGGACCGGGAAAATGCGGGGTACAGTAGGGTGAATTTGCTAAATATCACTTGATCCATTGGAATCACATGCCAAATGTAATGAATTTGCTAATTAGCTTCGTTAATTATTTACATGTGAACAATTTTTTTAGTTTTAATCATACTCATTAATATAATTGCTAATGGTCTATTATGCGTCGAATCTTATCATAAAATTAATAAATTTTGCTTATATATAAAAAATTATATTTAGGTGTCTATGTTTATATTTCACATAGGGTCTTCAAAATCAACAAAACGACCATGATCAAATTCATGACATTTGGCATCAGGACATATCGAATTAAGCATGACAAGTGAAATCAATAAGGCTGATATAATTGCAGTGGATGAGAAGTGAGAATGAGATGAGACCGGTCATCGCCTAACAAAGCATGGAGGCAAATCCATGGATATGATGGATACCATGGGCTAAATAATTTCCGAAGTAGGAACTTCTATGGAAGCTTCATAGGAACGAGTCAAGGATGTATACCAAAAATGGTAAACTGTCCCATCTGGATGGTGTTGTAAATAGCTGTCAAATGTCATAATTGGTATAACTTTGGGAACAATAATAAAGTTCTATTAAGGTTATCCTCAAGAGATAAAATAGCTAGAAAAAAGATTTAGGATATTGAGATAAACAGTTTATTAATTTATTACATGATAATTGTTGAGCATTATAGAAACCCTAGGAGGGTGGACGGTTTTGGAGAGACTCTAGGAGCTTCTTGAATCGTTCCTGGTAACAGATTAGCAAATGATTTGATTAGGATTAAATATGATTATTTAATTAATTCAAATAAATTTTATCTTCAAGTTACCTCAACTATATAAAGGTTCATCTAGCCTTCATAAATCTGATCCCACACTTTGCAAGAGTGAGAATTCGGTTATCATGGACTCTCTTCTTTCTCCTTAATTTTCTAGGGTTTTAGACTTTTGGGTGTGAGCCTTTAAGGGCATTCCTACTTTGGGTGCTAGATCCTTCCAAGAGCAACCAAGACTTCAAGGTCTTCAAAGGAATCAAAAGTACACTTAGGGTTGTTATTGAATGATTATGTTGCCTAAAATCCATACATATATGCATATAAACCCAACAAATAATACATGTCAAACCCGACCCTGGGGCCATCATATCTTGATAAATATCAGAACACTAACAATATTTTGGGTGTGCCAGAGTTTAAATCATGAACCTACTATATGTGATTTTTCACGTCATCCAATAGGCTTTCAAAGTTACAAGAGATATCCCCCATGAATAGAACCATTTCATTAAACCACACTATTTACACAAACAATAAGTGACTGAGAAACATTGGGTCATATACACAACTAAAACAAATAAATAATAAATACATATATACATTAACACCCCCTGACAGTTGGAATGTTGGTTATAATTATAATGTTCATTGTAGATTGAAAATCAAGAAAAATAGAGAGGAACCCACTTTGGTGAAAATGTCAGCACAATGTCGAGAAGACTGGACACTAAGAACTTGTATTTGACCCAATAACCTTGTCCCGAATAAAGTATATGCTAATCTTAATATGCTTCGTTCGGTGATGTTGAACCATGTGGGAAGCAAAGTACATAACATTGGCATTATCACAAAAAGCAGTGGTGTAACGCCCTGTTCCAAATCGCCCTCCTAATTCGGGATTATGGCCTGAAGATGGGTTATCATAAGGCTTTGGGCCTTTGGAAAAGAGAGATCTAGACCCATTTAGGAACAGACGATGTATTTGAGGTGATCCGGGGGTTTGGGTTGTGCCTTGGACCCAAGGGGTATATCGGTAAAGTGGCAGTACGATCTCTTTATGAATTTTGAATTTTCGTTCGGAAGGTTTTGAGGTGAAGATAAGTTGATAGATGTGTAGAGCTTCTCGCCACCTTTCCGTGGATATAAAGAAAGTCAAAAACGGAGTTGAAACGAAGAAGTTATGGCCGTTTGAAGTTGGAGTGGTTCGGATGAGTGATCGTTGACTTGTTGACGAAGCTCATTTAAGGCCCACGACGTGAGCAAGGAGTGCTCACGACGTGAGGAGCATCTGATGCACTAAAACCTTAATTTTCGGGTATTTAAAGGTATGAGATGATTAGGGCTGCTTCTCCTCAACCTCTTTCACTCCCAAGTCACTGAAAACCCTAAATTCGACCCTTTTGAGCCCTTGAGCCACTGTTGGTGGTTTTGGTGTTTTGATTTCTTTGAATAAGAAGAAGAAGAAACTCTTGTGATGACTCATTTTGGCGAGATAAGCTCATCTTTGTGGACTAGCTGAACTTGTGAGCTTCTATAAGGTATAAAGGTCCTATTTTTTTCACTTAAGGTTGCTAGATCTAGGTTTTGGCTACCTTCTTTGCATGAGATCTTGGCTTATCAAGCATGAGGTCCATAAAGTTATCAACTTTATGAACCATTGAGTCATTTGCTGTATTAGAACCCCTGGATCTGGACTTTGGTGCAAGTTATGGCCCCCAAGCTTGAATCTTTATGATTATATCAACTTTTGACCTAACTAGTGATTAAGTCATGCATTGGACATGCTTGGCTAAAAAGATATGATTTTTATGGTCTTTTAAACTAAATAAGGTATTCTGGAAAGTCCCAACGCTCATCTTAAAGGATTAATAGCTTAATGCTCACAGAACAGGTCTCACGACGTGAAGGGTATAGCCTCACGACGTGAGCATGACGATTTCCCCAATCTGAGACCCTGAGATGAGTAAACCGGGTTGACTCGCTGTGTCGACCCAAGCCGAGTTGACTCTCACGACGTGAGGACAGAAGGATAAGGAAGGTTGGGCCATTTCCTTGGACTATGCTACTATGGGCCTATTGGATTATTGTTTTGGGGTTGGTATTGGACTAAATCACTTGTTGGGCTTGATGAAGGGTCCATTCTAGGAGTTGGGCCGACTTTAGAAAATTGGGCCATAAGTAGGCCGTTAGTGGGCTTGGGCCAAGCCATAAATAATTGGGCTTCATGCTATGGACTTGGGCCTAGGTCATGGACCAAACTAGATTAGGGGTAAAATGGTCATTTTACCCTAAGAAGGATTATTGGATTTTGACTAAGTATTAATTGTGATAATGATAGTCGGGGAGTCGCAGAAGCAGCCGTTAGAGATTCCTTACCGAAAGATTCAGTTTCAGCTTTGCGAGGTGAGTTTCCTTCAGTAGAAACGGGTCTACGGCACCAAGGTCGGCCCGTATATGTGATACGTTAGTAGCTGAGTGTGGGCGGGGCCCGAATCTCGTAGTATTATTTGAGTATGGATATGTGACTGCTTGATAGAAAAAGATATACTTGTTGTCTGTGTGATACTTGTATGCATGTTAGTAGCGGTGTGTGGACGGGGCCCAAATCTCCTAGACAACGGAGTGTGGGCGGGGCCCGAATCTCCTAGACAGCAGAGTGTGGGCGGGGCCCGAATCTCCTAGACAACGAAGTATTGGGGGGGGGGGGGCGAATCTCCATGAGAGTGGGCGGGGCCCGTATCTCCTAGTGGCATGTTATGTGTATGGTATGTGGTAGTTTGGGGAGACTCACTAAGCTTCGTGCTTACAGTTTTCAGTTTTGGTTTCAGGTACTTCCACTAGCAATGGGAAGAGCTCGAGATGACTGCATGACACACACCATAACTTTTAGCCTGGGATGTTTAGACTCTGATGTTTTGACACGTGATTTTGATACAGTACTTTGATATGATGTTTTGGGGATACATGACTTGTGATTTTATTATGATGTTGATGAATTATGGTTTTCCTAAATGATTTAAAAACGAAATTTTTGGAACGTATTTTTGGGATGTTTCAAGTTAGTATCAGAGCCTTGGTTTGAGGGATTCGGGCACACTCTCAGGTGTGTCTGAACTCAAACTAAGGAATTGGTATAAAATCTTCCAAATAAAAATCATTTTTATAAAAAGAAATTTTTAAAAGTAAAAAGGATTTTGAAAAGAGAAAAAGGGTGTGGTGCATGCAATCAGCCGAGCTCAAGTAAGTTCTCCCAAATTACCCATACATGTTTATTTAGTTATGATATGCTTATGAGAGCTGCATGCTAGATTAGGGCTAAGGATCTAGGAGGATGCCTTAAGTGCCTTTTATATGTGTATGCGCTTTATGAACTGCATGCTAGTACTGATTAGTCAGTGATATGATGGTTTGATTAAGATATGCTTGATTATGTTTACTCAATGCTCGAATACTGCTTGCTTTGTGCTTTTATGAGTTATAGTTATCTTTAACTAACTAGTAAACGAATATGTTAAGTTACATATTACGAGGACTAAATAATTTCAGAAGGTTAGGTTTAGCTCTATTTCCCAGCTCTTGTCTGAGTCAGACCGTTGTAGGGTAGGACCTCTCATTCGAAGAATTATCTAGTCTTAGTGATATGTAATGGTATTCGCGAGCTAGTTAGGGGGAGATAGCAGGGACTTCTTATGCAGCTGATGGCGGAGAGTGGGTTGGTGATTACCCTAGGGAAAGCC